TTATTAGATCTAAATTAAATTAAAATAAAATTGAATTGAAGAAGTTACAAAAAAAAAAAAAAAAAAAAACCGAGAAATCTAAACTATATTATAAAGCATTTGACAAAAACTTTTAAAAACCTTTTTTTATATATGAAGTATGGCTTAATGATGTATATTACTAAAAAATCAAAATTACAAGTAAATTTTACGTAAATATAACTTATTAAAGCTCTATTTTTAAATTCATGTAACTAACTGCAGATAAACATAATAAAATACAAGATAAACATCTAATTTTAAATATAAAAAATCCAAAACATGATTAAGATAATAATTGAGTTCTAACAGAATGCTTAATTATTATCTTGATAAAAAATTATATTATTAAACCAAAAATAAATTATTTATTATTAAATCTAAATTAAATTATAATAGAAAAATTGAATTAAAGAAATTACACCAAAAACACCGAGACAACTATTAAATAGTTAATTTGATATTAATATCCATATAATTTTTTTTAAATTTTTATGATATGTTCAAATTTATATTTCATTCAAATATAAAAACATTATTGCTTTATCAAAATCTCATAAAAACTGTATTATATCGATAAAGACAATAACTAAAAGCTAAACATTAAATCGAGATATATCATGATGCATTGTACGAATACCTTTCAAATTTAAACCGATCAAACACCACCTTTATGGTTATCTCTTGGATTCTAAGCCTCTGGTTTTTTGTTTTGGGTAGTTGAGGTTCTTCATGTGTTTGGGAAGGGATGAAAGTGGCTTTTGATGGGGTTTTATTTCCTTTGTTTTGTTTGGTTTGGTTTGTAGCTTCTGTTGGGGTTTCCTTCATGCACCTTGGAGGAAGGTTATTTGGTGTTGGTTGCTTTTTAGTAAATGTGTGTGGCTTCCATATAAAGGAAGAAAGATAAGAAAATGGAGAATATGAAAAGTTAACCAAAATAAGAATAAAAATAAAAATAAGAATCCAAGTTTAAGGATGTAATCATTGGGTCATGTAATTTGTAATTATTAATTGGGATGTAGATATACTTACTAAATTTAGTAAGAAGTTTGACATGTCAAATAAATATATCTATTAAGATATACCTGACATATAAAGAATTATTTAAAGGAGGATTATATGATCCAAATATTTTGGACCAATAAAAAGTTATTTCTATTTTTAGACTCCTTAATGATCTCTTATGCACATACATTATTTCTATTTTTAGAAGCAAATTCACTTCATAAGATGCCCCCATCCCCCCTCCTTTCTTTCCTAATTTGCAGCAATCCCCCCAATTACCCTTTTGCTCTTTGTCTTGTTTGCTACACCATTATTTCTCCAACTTTCCTCCCTCTACCAAAGTTTTTTCATCCCCCTCTCTCCCCCTCTCTCATCCCCTGTCGAATCAAATTGGATCGGGTCGGGTTGAATTAGAGTTGTTTTTTTATCATTGGAAAACGGAGAGGGGGGGAGAGAACAAGATACGGGATAAGGAAGGAAGTTAGGAAGGAAAGTCGAAGATCAACGCTGTGTTATCGGAGATGATAGAAAAAGCTGCTGGCAACGGGTATTCGTGGTGGTGGGCTAGTCACATTCGAACCAAACAGTCCAAATGGCTCGAACAAAGCCTTCAAGGTTAACCAACCAACTAACTAACTAACTTTCGTGTATATATGTGTATGATCATTTAAACTGTAACGAGTTTCCATTTGCAGATATGGAAGAGAAGGTGGAACATGTACTGAACTTGATTCAAAAAGATGGCGATTCGTTTGCCAGAAGGGCGGAAATGTACTACAGACATAGGCCGGAGCTAATAAGCTTTGTCGAAGAAACTGTCCGTGCTTATCGAGCTTTAGCCGAACGGTATGATAAGTTGTCAACCGAATTGCAAAAGGCCAACACGACCATTGCTGCGATTTGTCCGGAAAAAGTCATGTATGACGACTACGACGATGACTATGCCGATAGTCCCTCTAAAATGCCCAAAAACACCTCTCAAAACACAACCAAGATGCCCAAAAACTCGAAAATGCCACGTAAAACCGTAAAGGGTCTCCTCAAAAACGCGTCAAAATCGATCCAAGGAACAAAGACGACTAAGACCGATCGTTCAGATGATGTCTTGAGATCTGGTTTGACAAAAGATGAGGCACTTGAAGAGATCAATAAGCTTCAAAAGGAGATAGTTGGGATGCAAACCATGAAGGAGTTCATGAAGGGTTCTTATGAAAGTAGTCTGGCTCAGTACTGGGATACCGAAAGCAAGATAACAGAACATCAACAAAAGGTTTGCAGTCTACAAGATGAGTTTCAAGTAAGCAGGATCATCGAGGAAGATGATGCTCGGACTTTAATGGTGGAAGGTGCCTTGAAGTCATGTGAAGAGACCTTAGATAACTTACAGAAGACACAAGAGAAGTCGAGCCAGGAAGCTAAACAAAAACTCAAATCCCTCAAAAACAATGAAGAAAAGGATGCCGATGAGAAGTCAAAGTCAAATGTCCCGAATCAAGATGACCAAAACGAGACTAAAGAATGCTTTGAGAGTCTATCAAAGAATCCTCAAACAGATGAAGAAATGGCAGACACGATCGAAAAGCTCGTGAACAAAGTAATAAGCTTAGAGAGTTCGGTTTCATCCCAGACTGCTCTTATCAACATGTTAAGAGCAGAAGCCGATGATCTACAGACACAGATTCGAAAGTCGGAAGACAATAAGGCTGCCTTGATCGTTGGAGTACCTATTTTGATTAAAATAAGGAAGAGCCTGGAAGAAAAGTCGAATGGGATGCAGGATTTGGACCAGAACGTCAATAACGAAAACAAAAGCCTCAAAACTCTTTTCTCTGAAGCCCTTCACAATCTTGAACTTCTGTCTGAGAAAATTGAGAGTGTGAAGATGAAAGGAGAGTCAGAAGAACCCATTGATGAATCTGCAAACACAAAGATCTTGAGCCCACAGGATGAAGATAAGAAGGTTATTGAGGTTAAAGACTGTGTTCTTGAATCTGAAGATGACATCAACTTACGAGAGATGTTGAGTGGCTTTGAAGAAAAAGAAAAGATTCTGCTTGAAGAGTATATTACCATCTTAAGAAACTACAAGGATACCAAGAAGAAACTGGCTGAAGAAGAGGAAAGAAACCAAGGAGCACTTTCTCCAGTAACGGGCCACGCCAGGAAATTGAACTCCGAAATTGTCAAGAGGGATAACGAGATTCGATTGCTAAAACAGAAGCTGAAACTTCTCCAAGAAACTTTTGGTAAAGATAAAGTAGACATACCTTCAGAAGAGAAAGAGGGTGTTACCTCTCTTGATGAACCTCAACCTGTTTCTGCAATTCAAGAAAAGCTAAGAACAGATATTGATGCCATTCTTGATGAGAATCTTGATTTCTGGTTCAAATTTGGCGCTATGTTCTATCAGGTACATAAATTCACGAAACAGGTTCAAGATCTGCAGGAAATGGCTAAAAAGGTCAAGGCCAATGGACTAATGAATAAATCAAGCACATCTATGTTTACCACGGATCTAATATCAAATATCAGGCCAATATATAAGCACCTTAAGGAGATAAATAATGAACTTACATCATGGTTAGAACGAAGCACATTACTGAAAGATGAATTACAGATGAGATGCTTGTCTTTATCCAACATCCAAGAAGAAATAACAAGGGCTTTGAGGGAAAGTCTGAAAGAGGAAGAAATCAAGTTCGGTTCCCTGGTGGCTGCAAAGTTCCAAGGTGAAATATTGAACATAAAACAAGAAAACAATAAAGTTAAGGATGAACTTCAAGCAGGTTTAGATCATGCCACCGCCCTTAAACACGAAATACAGATGACTCTAGCAAGGTTAGAGCAGGAGTTTGGCCTTGCTGACATTCCGAATCAACCACATCAAAAGTCAACCCGGCGGTCAAGAATACCCTTGAGGTCGTTCCTTTTTGGGGGTAAATCAAAGAAGCCAAAGCTCTCCCTTTTTGCCTGCTTCGGCCATCATAAGAAATCCAGTGTATATAAAGGTGGCCGTATGTAAATCTTTTTACGGGTTATCAACCACAATTGGGGAGTTCACCAAGCTGGTGTGGTATACCCTTGAGGCCATCTACTTCCAGGGTTAAAGCAAAGAAGCAAAATACCTGGACATTTGCCTGTTACACCATCACAGAAGTAAATTGGTGCATATAAAGGTGGCTTTATGTAAAACCATCCAACTTGTTTCTCGTTATTTCTGTGGGGTGAGGAGATGGGTTGTTCATCTAGATAGCGAACAACAGAAACTATGTTTCCTTTTGTTCTCAATTTGGGGAAATTGGGTGTGTCATGATCCATACGATGTATTTTTCTATAAACATTCAAAAGCTTGCAAGTACAACATAACAAGGGAACTTTCCCTTTCATATCAACGGTTTCTTTTTCTTGTTACAATATAAGCTTCTGAAAAGCATTAGACTTTCTTTTAATAATGTGTCCTACAGTATTGACAAAGAAAGCAAGCCTCTCAAAATCATCCTTCTTCAAGCTGCAAATGACACTTCTGACACCACCTTAGCTCCCCTGCCCTTTGCCATGTAAAGCCCAACATGGTGCATGAGTTCCTGTTACGAGATTAAAAAATTTGTGGAGAAGGGAAAATAATGATGTTTAAAACAATATATTTAGTTGGGAAACTTCTATTATGAACCAAGACACCATGAACCCCATGCTTGATAATCGACATTCATCTATGAATGTCGTACATAGTAACAAATGGTTTTTGCGCACCAAAAGTAATTTCAAAAATTGAAGGGCAACTACATATATCAGCATAATAATGAACTCAAATTCAGAAAATTAAGTATGGAACATTATTGATTATGAAGAATTTGATGACAGGCCTTCGCTGCAAAAGATCCCGGAATTGGTCGATAGCATAGGCTTTTGTTGTGCATTCGTTTTAGAGACAAATGAATGATAAATCATGAGCCAATATAGCTACATGTTCTTTTACCTTATAAAATACTTGAAAATATGTTAAGGGTTTCCTTGGGGGAGCAATTCTTGTTAGGCAGATCAAACATGTGGATGCATGAAAATGAAATTAAACCACACAATCTGTCTTCCGTTAATGATGTATTAAACTTGAATAATCCTACTAGTGTAGAATGAAATAACATAATAACATATCTATCTTTGAAAGCCTATATAGCAAGTTTTAACAATCTCCTAATAGATACAAAGTGCATACATGAAATGAAAGTAAAGCACACAATCTGACTTCCATTCATGATCATTCAACAACAAATAATCCTACTGGTGGTATGGGGTAGAATGAAGCAAAAATCTATCTTATAAAGCCTATATGGAAAAGCTTTAACAATCCCCTAATAGATATTGTACAAACCATTGATTATTTTTCAGTTTTATCTGTGGATGTCAATGTTAAACACACTCATGACTAGGATGATCTACAGTAACAAGTGTACCTGAGGGTGAGCAAGAGCTCCAGTGATGCTCTTGGCAACATGTAGTGGAAGGTCAAAAGTTGCACACCCACCAGAATACACAATCACATCCCTTAGAGGTGTAAGATAACCACGATTTCTTGCAGAGAGTGCAGAACACACAAAGTCCAGTACGCATACATCTGTGCATATCCCTACAACCAATATCTGAAGAATAGAATAGTTATCCATCATAGTAAATACTAGAGATTATACAACATGCCATTGTTATCATCTTCCACCAAGAAGGAAGAGCCATCTATTTGTTTGATTTCACTAGTTAATAAATATATACATGATACTTACAGCTTCAATCTGGTGTTTTTTCACCCAATCTACAAAGACATTAGATCCATCTTTCTCAAAAGAACCAAGAAATCCATCAATGCAGTCTTTACGTCGAAGTGTCACGTTCGACTCGTTTTCCAACCATTGTAAAGCTACAAAAAAGAGATGGAAATCAAAATCAGAATAGCAAAAGGTAGCTTGAGATGAAAAAATTCAAATACATTTTCAGCTTATCATCATAGGCTGTATCAAAATTTGCACAGGAGAAAGGCTACCAGGAACCAAGTTGGCTTCTTCTGTCCCAGCTAAACAGTGAGGAGGGTATGGGGGCTCAAGGACATCTGGCTGATGAGTATCAAGGAAAGCAAACACGGGCCATTTCTTTTCACAAAACATTCTGGCAAGTCGTGTTGACTCATCAACCATTCTAGATATTTGTTTATCGGGTACTTTTGGAGCCTGTCCAAGAGTGACATACATTATATTAAAACGAAGTTAGCATCACTTTTCCTACAGATTAACAGCAAAAAGGTGAACAGAGAAATGCAGATAACATGACTTGCATATGGTGTTGGTCTAAAAAAACCATGACCCAAATTGCTTAAGAACTTGAAATATTAAATTATGCACTTGTGTACTTAACATTATGTCACAAACAAATCCATGAAAAAGCAATCAAAGAACTAGAACAATTTGCCATCACAAAGCTCTATTAATCCAATAAATTGAGTGCAATTAGTTCAAAGAAAAGCAGAGAATAATCTATTTAGGAGAACTGTTAAGAATGTGTTTTCTTTTCCATATTCAATCTTCATCAATATGGAAAAAGCAACAACATCCTTTACCACAGGAGTCTTACTAATTATAAGGCCAACACAAATATCAGTTTTGATTACAAAAATACTGTTTGGGAAGACCTGTGTATTCCTTCCATTCGCAGTTGACTTGCACGACCAGTCCCTTGAAAAGTTTCTAAGTTGAAAATCAGCTCATCTGATCTCAAAAACAAAAGTTTGCGTCCCTATTTTTAGATATAAAAAATTAGAAAGAAGAAATAAACCAAGCATCAAACAGAAAATACTCCCTTCCTCACGCATTAAGTCTGTATTTGAGCTAAGAAATTTGGTTTTTTCTCTTTTGGAAACTTGAAAATTATCAGGTCGGGTGGACATTTCTTTGACCAGACGAAGTAATAAGAAGAAAAGGAAATCCGAATATGCTATAACATGTGATGTCTCTCAAGCTAATTTACTATTTGGTTGAAGAACTCGACAGGTACCGGTGGACCGAACCACGGTTAGATATTCATGAAAATGCTACATCACACTTAATGAATGTCCGACAATTATATGGTTCAAGCTCTGATAGGTATCCGTTGGGTCAAAAACACTGTTCTCTATTCATGATTATTCTATAAAATGTAAATTAGAAGGATATGAGAGAATAATTGAATATACAATAACATAATCATATCACTGCAATCCATAACCACGAGGTAACAATTGAGAAAACGATCGAGAGAGATTAGATTGAGAAAAATAAACGAGCGTGAAAAGTTTTACCAAATGACCAGCACCAACGGTACAGAAGCCGTTAACGATATCGACAAGGACAAGACCGGTACGCAGGTCACCGGAAAACACCATTGACTCATCATCCACTGGAAGCTCGTTCTTCACCAGATCTATCGCCCTCTCCGACGACATTTTTCACAGATTTTCAACTCAACGTCTTCAACACTCTCTTTATGTCTATCTCTCTCTCTCTCTCTATATATATATATATATTATGTATATATACACCCATTCAAATGGGTGTGCAGCTTGGATTTGTTGACTGCGGCTTGTTTTGGATTGTTCTCAAAGTACTTATTTTCCAATTGACTCCCTCAAGGATTTGGGATTTGTCTTGGATGGCCCTTCTCTCTATATTTGTTTACAAAGAAAAAATAATAATAGTTACTTTTTCTTTTTTGACAAACTACTTACAAAAACAACGTATTTTAATTTGATTCATATTTTAGGTAATGTATTTTTGAAACTTTCATTTTAATACTTAAAATGTAATGTTTTAAACATTTAAATACTCGAGTAACCGGTTGTACACTAATTTAGATTAAAAACAAGATTAATTTTAGATTAAAAAAATATATGTCACTAACCATATCAACAAATAATATCGAGTTGAATACCACATCAACATGATAGCTGGTTAATGTTTTAACCGATTAATCCATGTTATCCATACATTTAAGTACGTGAGTAACCGGTTACATTTTGATTCATATTGCATAAAAAAGTTTTAAAAATAAGTTATCCAAAATATGAATTAAAGTATGTCATGCAATTTGTCCTTTATAATCATATATTTAATTTTTTGTAAATCACATTTATTATATTATTTCAATCATTTTCAATGTTGGTGATCATTTAGATACGTTGACTATTTTGAACAAATATGATGTACTTTCTTTTTTTATTTAAAAATGATGTGTGTAGAATAATATTGTATGTTTGTATATGTGACTGAAAATATGATAATATTTTATGATTTTTGAATTTCAAACATATTTTTTTTAATTCATAATTTCAAATACCTTGTAATTCTTGGAGAAAATAATCACGTTTTTCTTATGGGGTGGGAGAAAAGTAGAGGGTTATTGTACGGTGTTTGTAAAAAAATTTCATGATCAATTTTATAAGTTAATGATATAAAGTTGCATGGTGACAATTTTGTGATTATTGAGAAGTCTCGTGATAATTTTGTGATTATGAGTGTTCAGATTGTAGATCTAATCTAATGGTTGAGAATTGGTCTTACGGGTCTCACAAAAAACTATTGGTCTCACATGATCCCAAGTCTCTATATATACTATATTATAAAGCATTTGACAAAAACTCTTAAAAACCACTTTTTATACGTAAAGTATTGTTTATTAATGCATATTACTTAAAAGTCAAGATTGCAAGTAGATTGTGCGTAAGCACGACTTATTAAAGCTCCATATCTAAATTCATGTTACTAACTGCAGATAAGCATAATTAAATACAGGATAAATCTCATTTTAAATATAAAAAATCTAAAATATAATTAGGATAATCATTAAGTTCTAACATAATACTTAATTATTATCTTTATAAAATATTATATTATTAAACCAAAAATAAATTATTTCATTATTAAACTTAAATTAAATTATAATAAAAAAATAAATTAAAGAAATTACATAAAAAAATAGAACTTTTAAATAGTTGATTTTTATATTAACATTGGTATTTTTTTCTTCAAATTTTTATGATATCTTTAAATTTATATTTATTTAAAAAAATCTTTATTGCTTTCTTAAAAACACATAAAATCGTATTATAACATCGACATAGACAAATAATAAAATAGAACATTAAAATCGAGATGTGTCTCACTGCATTGCGCAAGTATTGTTCTAGTATATCAAGAGGGGTTCAAATGAAAACATCACTATTTTACGAAAATGTTAGAACACTTATGAGTCTCCAATTTAATTAACACATGGTAAAAATTAGAATAAATGAAAATAAATTAGTGTTTATCCGTAATTTTTTGTTATCCTTGATTTATCCTTGTCCCTTAAATTTTATTGTTATCATCATAGACTTTTTATGTTGATGCATTCGTTGATGATAATATTGAGGTAATGATCTAATTTTTTCGTGATAATGATTTGATAAATTAAATACTTTTTATGATGTAATAATCATCTAATGATTATGTGATTTTTGTTGTGATAATCGAAAATCACAACAAAAATCACGATTATCATGTCTACATTCATCGCTCTGTCTATTTATTATATGATTTTGTTGTGATAATTATTTGATACCAGTTAGCATATTATATGTATTTGATTTTAGAGATAAAGATGTCATTGAAGTTACAGATAAATAAAAAATCACATGATTAACCTAAATTAATTACTTTATTGTATTTTTATTTTTATTATGAATTAAATAATTTGGAGGCACATAACTCTGATAAACATTCATCTAGACCGTATGTACATGTGCATACAAGTAATTGAAGTTGTTTTTTTGGTTTTACGCACTTGTGCATGTTATGCACCTATGCATACCAGACAAATTGCTTATAAATTACTTGTATCTAGATGAACAATAATCAGGGTGTTTCCCAGTTTTTCATTTTTTTGAGATTTTTCCCTAAATCTAACCATATATATATATATATATATATATGTATATATATATATATATGTATATATACATATATGTATATATATATGTATATATACATATATATACAAATATTATTTTATAACTTATGTCTATAATATAAAAAATACTATATTATATTATAATTTTATAAATATATAAAAATACATTATAATTTATAAATACATAGTACATTATAAAATACAAATATGGCGAAAAATCGTGTGAGAAGGTAAATTATGGTGAGAAATATAAAAAAAGATCTGAACTTGATCAAACTTGATCACTTTTAATCTTATTCTTACCCATGAATTGCACTTTAGAAGGAAATGAATCTAGTGCATCTTGGTGCACCTCATTAGCGTTGACATTCAATTATGATGATCCAATGGTGAAGATCTCTTCTTACACTTCTCATCATAACTTTCCTTCTCACCGGAACTCAACCTTTATAAATATATATACATATAGGTTATGAAAGATCATGCGAAAAATTGATCAATTTGTGAGAAGACATGAAGTTTCAAGATCACACATAATCACATGTAAAATGAACGCTTGATTATAAATGATTAAACACATCCAATACGAACGCGTTCGACTTTGTAAGCGCGAGAAAAGGTCATAGGGAAGGTCGTCTGCTATATTATCGGTTAATGCAACATGTGTTTAATAATATATATGATTAAGTGTTTGTATCACATGTAATCATGTGTAATTCTAGAACTTCTCGTCTTCTTACAAAATGAATGTCTTCTGGTTTGAACCAAATCCCATATATATATATATATAATATGCACATAATAATTGTAGATTTTGTTATGTTATGAGAATAAAATAATAATTTTATATTTTTGTCCAATGTTGTTCCACCTTTTTGAGTGAAACAAAAAACTCTAGTTTGGTCCTATGCAAATAGGTTCGTGTCCCACCTCATTTTTCTCTCATACTATACCAAACGTGAAACAATTTTTTGTCCCGTCATATCTCATTAGCATCATTATCAAATTTAGGAGGTGTTTGGGATTTGCTTATTTGAAACAACTTATGTTTTTCTACAAAAATCCTTATTAACTTATTATAAGTTAGAATGGTTTAACTTCTTCAAAAAATCCATATTACCGGCTTGTCATTGATATAAGTTGTTTATCCAAACATTCAAAAGTATTTATTACCGGTGCCACACTAGAATAAGTCAATAAGTTGTTTTTATAAGCAATCTCAAACACCCCCTTAAAGATAGAGAAAATAAAAATATGCTTTTATAATTCCTCTAGGTTCGATCCCGTGTATTACACGGGGTAATTTGAAAAAATTAAATCATGTCATGAACTTATCTTACAGATATGAATGATCATCGAAAATACGATGCTACTTAAGACTTGTACTATTGAAATAACTCTGAAGTATAACCCTGAAGAATGACTTTTCAGACTTTAATTTAGAAATGAAACTATATTAATAATTAGTTAAAATGAAGTTAACCCTAGAATAAAATTAAATGTGTTATTTTGAACAAATATAGACATATTTTTGGTAAAAAAAAAAAAAAACCTTTTATAGCCAGCATGTTAACCAACAAAACTCGTCTTACATAACTCTTTGACAACATCAGGAAGTGATAGCTGAAAGCTGTCACGATTAGCTGTAAGCTACCTCTTCAGTGATAGCTGAAAGCTGTCACGATAAACTGAAAACACAAGCTGAAGGCTGTCAGCAATAACCTGTCAGATTAGCTGAAGGCTGTCAGCAATAAGCTGACAGATTAGCTAAAGGTCGTCAGCAATAAGTTGTCAGATTAGCTGAAGGCCGTCAGTGATAAGATGTCAGCGATAAGCTGAAAGCTGAAGATTGTTAGCAATAACCTGTCAGATTAGTTGAAGGCTGTCAGGTGTCAGCAATAAACTGTCAGATTAGCTGAAGACTGTCAGTGATAAGTTGTCAGCGATAAGCTGAAAGCTGTCACGATAAGTTGAAAACACAAGCTGAAGGCTGTCAGCAATAAGCTGTCAGATTAGCTGAAGAAAATTAGTCTGAACTAAATCCCGTTTAGTAGGGAAATCAGCTAAGCCACGATAAAAAAAAGATACATTTTTAGATGGGCAGATGTCAACCAAATAGGCCTCTTTGAACCACTAATGTAAATTGTGTCTAGATACATGTTTAGACGGGAAAATAAGATAACTGACTCACCAAAAGATGACACGTGTCACCCAAGTTACTTATTTATTAGGTGTATAGATTATCAGATTTAACTATTTTAGTTAAATTAATAAATAGATATAGTTAATCTAAAAGAAAAGAACCAAGGAACATTTTTTGATGTAAAAAAAATTGTTAATCTTAATGATTTGTCTTTTATAAACTTAATACAAATGATATAATTAAGACTAGAGTAAGGGGCCGTTTATTAAATACTTACCCGGTAAGTGACGCTTACCGCGTAACTATTTAGTTAAACGACCCCTAAATTACTATATTATATTATAATTTTATAAATATATATAAATATATTATAATATATAAATATGATGAAAAATTGTGTGAGAAGGGAACTTATAGTGAGAAACATAAAAAAAGATTTGAACTTGATCACTTTTAATCTTATTTTTTTCCCATGAATTGCACTTTAGAAGGGAATTAATCCGGTGCATCTTGGTGCACCTCATTAGCGTTGACATTCAATTATGATGATCCAATGGTGGAGAAATCTTCTCACACTTCTCATCATAATTTTCCTTCTCACCAGAACCCAACATTTATTAATATATATACATATAGGTTATGAAGGATCATGCGAAAAGTTGATCAATTTGTGAGAAGACACGAAGTTCCAAGACCACATATAATTACATGTAAAATGAACGCTTGATTATAAATGATTAAACACGTCCAAAACGAATGCGCTCGACTTTGTAAGCGCGAGCAAAGGTCATAAGGGAAGGTCGTCTGCTATATGCCGGTTAATGCAACATGTATTTAATAATATACATGATTAAGTGTTTGCATCACATGTAATCATGTATGATTCTAGAACTTCGATTTCTTCCTTTGTGTGTGTATATGTGTCTAACATCGAATAAAACATAAGGTGATTTTCGTTTTTAGATTTTGATTACAGGTTTGATTTAGGGTTTTAATTTAGATTTATGGGTTTGTTCTTAATGTAAAGTTGGAGAAGGTGAAGATTTGAACAAAGGAGGGGGTTCGCTGGTGGTTCGTCTGAGAAGACTTCATTTTCGACTGCTCCTGTGTTCCCATCACATCCTTCGTTCTCTGGTTCCTCCAACTTCAAATCAACGTCGTATTCCACCATCTTTGGTTCTCCTAACTTCTAAAGCATCAACACATTCTACCATCATCGTTGGATTACCATAAAAATTGAACCATAGACACATCTAGATGTGAAGATGGTTCACGAATTCTCCTCTCTAGGTCACAATCCAATCCAAATGGTAAAATGACATTTCTTGCCCTCATGTTTAACGGATCTATCGGACTCCAAGGATCAAAGCCATGAAAAAATGCATGTTTGCAGGTGTTTTATATAATAAATGAAGTTTAAGGATCAAATCCATAAAAATCATATACCATAAGGACCAAATTCGTAATTAGCTCTTAAAATCATTATAGTAATATAAATATATTTATAACACTTCTTTTTGAACATTATTAAAAAAAATAACGATCTGTCCTTAGTATAGGGTTACAGGTGTAATTTCCAAAATTAGAAGGGAGTCATATGACATTAGACTAAATCTGAAGGACCATAACTCCATAAAACAGAAACCAAGATATAGTAGGGAGGTAGGACCCAATGCTTTGACATTTTAGGAGATTCCTTGGGATAAGAATCCAACTTTTTGTTCTTTTAAAGAATCATTATATATATTTTAATTTTTGAAAAAAAGTCCACAAAAAATTAATTGGACTTCACGGACCGTTTACTAGACACTTACCTGGTAAGTATTTATCGATAAAATTCAATACTATCGCTTACCGGGTAAGCTTTTATTCACTAATACGCATCATATGCAACAATTTATCCCGATAAACACTAACCATGATAAAAGTCCTCGTTCTCACTTACCGGGTAAGACTCTCAATTTCTGTCTTCGCTCTTACCAGGTAAGATTTTTAGTCCTTGTCATGTTCATCCGGTAAAGTAAAGTGACTTCGTAAGCGCTTACTCGGGTAAGCGTTTAGTTAACGACACCTAATCCCCTTGTTTACCTGGTACCAAGTTCAGTCAGCAACTTTACCTCTTAACAGGTAAGTGTCTCTTACCTGAGAGGAGGTGGTCAATGTTTAGTGAACAGTCCCTAAGAGCAGTACTTTAAAATCAGATTAACCGGTTGTTTATAGCATCGCAAATTTGTGTATCATATGTATCCTGTGGTGTGAGGATGCTGCACCCGAATACTGGTATGTGAAACACCCCCATGACAGTAGTTGATAAGATATGGCATACGCATGTTTTTCTTCCTCAAGTCAAACCACATGACCAAATATTAACATGTACTGCTGCTCCTCAACATCCTATTTCAATTTCAACTGAAAAATTCAAAATTTTACACAGATATCTTTGATCTTTTAGCTCTTTACTTGTCGGTTTTCAAGTTAAATAGTTAATACCCATTTTGTCACATGCGGTCAAAATTTATTACAGCACCATGCCGAAACTACCAATTCCAAGACCCAAATGCATCCTCGAAACATCATCAAGATGAACTTGAGCATCCATGTCATATGACAAAATCAGTGTTTCAAACGCTACCAGAAGATCCCTCTAGAATTTAACTATACTTAAACATTTGTAAGAAACACGGTACTATTTTACATGTATTCAAATATAGAGTCGGAGTAGGATCAATCAGAAAGCTAACCTCTCAGAAAATCAAGTATCTTCGCCTATGAAAATTGGAAGGTTGTAAAAGAGAGAGCAAAATCATTTGTCGGTCTTGTCGTCTTGTGGGAGTTGAAGGCCCATGAGGCCAAGCAGATTAGAAGCTGGACCTGGTAGTCCCTCTTGAGAAGAAAATGAACCAAGAAAACTCTTCACAAGGTTCACATCTACATCCACATGTGTGAACTCATCCTGCACATCTCCAGCGGCATTTGATGTTCCCTGAAATCATCATAAATAAAGTCGTTGAAAAATAGTTCAAATTCTTCCAGAAAGTCATCTGCAACATAAAACTATCAAAACGGAGCGGGTTTGTGAATGCTAAAAGGCAGATATAGGATAAACGCTGATGGCGGTGCATCCCTAATTGCAAAAGCATATTACCATCCTATAATAGTCAAAGGGCTTAGGTCTTAACCAAGAAGAAACATAAAGAGAGAGATAGAAAGAGCAGAGATAACGCTTAAAAATACATAAAAGGGCGGAACCAGCTACTAGAATGTGGTGTTCATCAAAGCTAAAATTAAATGTAGCGAAAAAATGTAATTGTATTTGAAAGTGGATATATGAAAATAAACAAAAACTACAGAAAACTGATATTTTGAAACATGTTAAAGAAAGTAATAAAAAATTAATAGGAGATTTAAGTCCTTAACTTAGAGATGTGTGTATTCTATGAAAAGGTGGAGCATATTGTGAAGTGTAAAAGACCTTAGAAACCAGACAGGTGTATAAAATATGGGGCAGTTTACCAAACACTATCTGTCTGATAAATGGAGATGGTAAAACTAACCTCATCCTTTTTGAAGGTTGGCTCATTTGCACGAACAAAACTTTTACCAAGTGTCGTGCTCTTGAGTTCCTCACTCAGAGCATCAGAGTAAGAGCTCATGAAAGCTGTTTGTTCATCTTCGTGATCATCAGACACCTCTCCAATATCGCTATCTTCAGAATCATCTGTATTCAAATGATGTTACAGTAGCATGGCGTTAGAAATGAAAAAAACTACATAAAAATCCACAATAGATTTATGCAACATTCAAATATACTCCTCGTGATCATCAGGACATCTAGTATACTCAAGAAAGCTGTTTGTTCATCTTCGTGATCATCAGGACATCTAGTATACTCCTCGTGGAATGAAAATTTGTTAACAATCACGGAAAACCTCAAATCATGATATGAGATGAACTGCCAAAGCAATTTTAATCACATAATGCAAATCCTTCCTAGCAAAAAATGGCCAATTTTGTCGCTTGTCTTTCTTTTAAAGATATATATCAACCTAAACAAGATAATAACAATTAAAAAAATGTGCAAGTAGCATGCCAAAAAATGCTTTTTGGTCATCTAAACAACCAGACAGCTTAGGTTTGGAAAACTGAGAAATGGTACAACTTTCTGCATATGCCCATATCTCATGTTACTGTGATTTATCACTGCTGATAGTTGCATCAAGGGTACTGTCATCTAAAGTTTAGAATGATCAGAAAACAGGGAATATGTACCAAGCAAAGCAGGGAATATCTATTCTCCTCAGAATACACCTCAGTGCCATTGGTTGCATGCTACAGCTACAGCTAAAGGCATAGCACTTCCCTTTTTATGTTTTATATTCACTTTTCCTTGCTAATATTTTCAAAACGGGACAGCAGTAAGTTGGTATATTCTTACCAATCAGTTGCAAATTATATTTGATGTCTAAGGCTAAAAGATCACCAGAAAGTTCTGGCAATGTTCAATGTCACGTGTGAGGTGCAATGAGGAAAGGATACACTATTGATACCTTGTTCCAGAGAGAATTTAAGATAGTTTGAATCAAGTGATTTTAGACATGTCAAGAATAATGATGCAGTGATGATTCACCCAAAAACTCACCCAAATCCATGTCAGAGGAAAGGTCTTCATCAACATCATCATCATCATCATCATCAGCATGTTCTGCATTTGGAGTCTTCATAACTGACTCGATTTCTTTCATAAATCGCTCCACATCAAGGTCCACATTGTTTGGATTCCTGAAAGAACCAAAAAACACAGACATCTAATATAGTAAAAATCTGATATTACTTGTTAGTAAATCCTATTTTGATGACTGTCTCAAGCCAACTTATGCTGACCTCAAAGCCAAGATATTATTACTTTTTTTTGGTCAAGATCCTATGACAGCCTATAAATACCCTGCTGTCACCACAGGTAACAGGTAACAAGTAACAAGTATGTAATGAACACATTATTTACGAAGATATTTGGTGAATATCCGATCTTCCTTCTCCAAAGTTTTTGACACATAAATCATGGCTCATTTAAGAATACAGATGACAAAGAATTAAACTTTTTTTAGCAATAGAAGGATAGACTTGCCTGTCTCCAGGAACTTCTGCTCCCTCGAAGCTTGACATCTTCTGAATAAATGCTTGCATCGATTTTGCTATATCACCAAGATCATAATCATCTATATTTGAGGAGGACGAGGGACCAACATCCTCCTGCTCTTTGGATTTCTTATTCTTTTTACGGTTCAGATCGTAATGTTCCATCTCTTGCTGCCTCTCAAGAAGAGCAGCATTTAGTTCATCCTCACCATTGTAGAGCCACAAATCATCATCTGATGGAGGAACTTCTTTACCTTTAAAGTCATCTGCTGAAAAGGGATGAGCAAGGATATCATCTATGCGCCTGACTGGAGCACTCATAATTTCGCTGCAGAAACAACTACATGTATCAGCAACGAAAATGATGACCAAATAACAGATGTAGAAGATTAGTTTTACTTGTAACACATGATCTAAGATAACAAGGATACAACAGAAGTAGACGGACATTTTAACATGTAAATGGAGACCCTCAGCACACATTTGATGCAGAGCATGCATAAGTCCATCTTTTGAATCATATTTCCACTACAAAGAAGCAGGGGAGACGTACCTTTCTCTGGAATGTAAGGAACTTTTTCTGTAATAATCTTCTGCATTCTCCATCAATCTTTTATACTCCTTTGACCCAGGAAGCAACCCTTCAAAGTACCCACTCCTATCTAAACTTTCTCTATACACCTCCCACGAGCTCCCTTTCCCTTCCAACACTTCTCGTTTTCTCACCTGATAAATCATTTCAAACCCACATGCTATCTTCATTCCCAACTCTGCTGCAGCGTAACCACTATCACTCCTTGTCGGCATTGGATAACACTTAGGGGCCTGAAATGTTTGTTGCATCAATTGTGCATACATTGCACGTGACATCATCACCGTCACCTCAACTATCTCATCAGCACTTTTGTTAGGCAAAAATCTTTCCATATTTGCTGCATACTTCATTGAATCTATGTCTCGGTCATAAAACCCCTCCACAGCTAGTGATATTAAGCAGGGTTCATGCTTCAAGACATGTGCCACCAATGCTGGAACCTGGACCCTAACCCTATGCATATTCTTAATTGCCCTGTCAGGATAGTCCCCAATTCGATGTTTTATAGCTAATTGAACGGAACTTGAAGCCTTGGTTTTATCCTCGCATTTCATTACATACAAAAGAGCATCAAATAAAGTGGGAACCGAAGGGAAATGATTGTTGGGAACAATATGTAAGTTGCCACCACGGATAAAGATACGATTGGTGCTGGTCTCAGGGTTAAGCCACTTTGGGAGGTGGAAAGCAGCCTCAATAAGGAGAAACTCGCCATCAGTGTCCCATACACGGATTGAGAGATTCGGAAATTTGCATGAGATCTCAAAGAGTAGGAACACAACAAACCATTCATCTTCAAGATTGTCTCCATACCTAAGCTTTCCATGAAGATGGGGAAACTGATTCGAGGAAGAGGGGCAAAAGGCACAGGATGCCTGTGTGGACAGGGAGAGACTGAAGGGTTCATGTTGCCATATGTAGCTGGTGGTGTAGCAGGAAAGAGTCTGGAGGATTTGGAGGTGGAGACACTGGAGCTGTGAGGAGAGAAGAGGATCCGTTTTAGAATTTTGGTATTTGAGGTCTGATGAAAGAGAAAAGTCGGGAAATATGGAGAAGAAGACGGTGTCTTCAGGCAGTCTTGAGTTCTTCTGGGAGAAGATGGACGAAGGGTCAGCTTCTGACATTATCTTTACAAGTTATGATTACAGTAACCAACACTCAACAGCTTCAGGTTCCTGTTCTTCAGAAGGAGCAATGCTCTGTGGACAATATATCTGCATATGTAAAGCAAAATTGAGGCACATTTTTCATCAGCAAAAAAACCAAATATAAACAAGAAATCTTTTCCAATATCTTTCAAATCTACAATCAAGAAACAACCCAATCAACTAGGAGCTCACACAAGCATGCTTAGATGACTACCCAATCAACTAGGAGCTCATACAATCGTGCTTAAATTGAAATTTTTCCTCACAAAATTATGGAAAAAAATCAAATGGGCACATAGAGGCAAGCGATTATGGTGATATGAAATTGCCATTATGATTAGAGAGAAACTTCCCCATAGAATTTGGAAATGAAACTTAAAACTGAAATCAAATTTAACAAATTACATCGTTAATCACCTGGATGCGTCTCAAACCAGTCAGTACGGCAGAAGCCTATCTGTGGTTTCAACTTTCAATTTCTGAAAGTTGACATCAAAACCTCGAATCAGGGTTTATGAGGAAAAAATTAGAGAAGTGATAATGGTATCAAAGGAATATGTTGTGAAGTTGCAAGCCTCGCAGAGGTTCAATCAAGAGCAAATGCCCCCGAAAACTCCATGCGATTTTTATAAAATCATCTAGTAGACTAGCATTATTTTATTTTTTATCAGCAGGTACAAAATTTAGCTATAGCCAAGCAATGTTTGTTTTTACCTAAAGAGCTGTTTGGCAGATGCTGAATGATTTGGTGCAGAATGATTCAATGATCTGCAGAAAAAAAGATTAAGAGGCTCTATATGATTTAGTGCATGATGAAAAATGATTGTTTGGTAAGTGTTCACGATGGACTACCTGAATAATAGAAAATTACCATTTTAACCCTCTATATGATTTAATACTAAATTAAACATGAATGTTTGATAACTATTTTTGAATTAAAAAATTACCTTGCAAATGTATCACCTTGTACATATAAACTACAAAAAGAAATATAAATTCGCATATATCATCTCACAAATATAAATTACAAAAAGTAACATCAAATAACATTAATCAAAACATACCATATTAAAAGAAGCACAATGTTACATGTTTATCACAACTCTTAACGAATAAGAATAGAATCAAAATATGTTGAATGCAACCAAAACTACCCCACTATGTCGTCTCAAGATTCAAAACTAGAAAAAATGACAATACATTGGGTGTGTGATGTCCAGGATCTTTGCTTTTATGCCGTTCGCAAAATTGTTGTATGATTTTCCTACACCATTGAGACCCCGACTCATCTCCAAGCAGCGACATGCAAATCTCTCCATAACAAGTTGGAAACAAAGGCTTCTTTGTTAGAATTGTCATAAAGTTGGAATAAGAAAGCTTCTTTCTCAATGCAAAAAAAGCCGACTCTACTAAAATGAACAAAGAAAATTCATCAAAAATATAGCAACTCTAACAAGATTAATCATCATTGACTTGGGTTTTCTAACGTACAAAACTCAACGAACTTTTTCCGTTCAACAAAATTTCCGATTACTCATTAGCATAGTGGAAATGAAAATACATAGCAGGGCAATTTGACTTGCCTAAGTAGGTCAGCATGGTGTTGATCGAGGCATGTTGCCATGAGATCAAAAGTGAAACAACATTTATAATATATGAGGTCCTGTGTAAAGATATTTAGTGCATGTGAGACTTGAGATATTTAAGGCATCTTTGATTTATTACCAAAGGCAGAGCAACATGTATCATATATGAGGAATCACAGTGTGGGGTGTGAAACAAAGAGATGCAGGCATCACCAAATAAAATTTTTGTTTGAGACAAATAATCAAACACCTCATGTGCATTAAATTGTAAAATCCCTATGAATAGTCTTCTATTAGACTAGAAATCAGGAATCACGATCACAAATTGGAACACAGTGGGGTAGTTAGGCTAACTACAAACACCGTCTAACCACCACATCCACCGTATAGCAAGCATTAAAATTGAGCGTAGAAGAAGCCAAATCGCAAAAGCAATATACTATATGCAACATAAAAATTGAGGAGAAGAAATTCAACAGAAGAATAACCAAAATACCAGATAGGAGACAAGGAACAAGGCAACGATGAATGATCAAGAGCAGCGAGGCAGAAACGACCAAAGGAGACGATGAGTAGATGCGAGAAATAAAGGGCAATAGTTGAAATGACGGCCACTGAACGATACGAGCAAGCTCAGAAGATGAACGATTCAGGGGTTTTAGGAACCGTTTAGATGGTTATTCTCAAGAATGTGTAGGAACCCTTGGACTATTTGGCTAGTAAGGTCTACGAGGTTCGAATCCACCGACGTACATTCTCAAACAAAAAACCAGCATTTTTCTAATAACAAATATTTTGAAATCACAACTCTAAAAAAATCAAATATAAATTCAACATTATCGCTTACTTACCGGGTAAGATTTTATTCACTAAAACGCATCGTATGCAACAATTTATCCTGGTAAGCGCTAACGATGGTAAGAGTCGTCTTTCTCACTTACCAGGTAAGACTATCGATTTTCGCCTTCGTTCTTACCAGATAAAATTCTTAGTTCTTGTCATATTCATCTGGTAAAGTAAAGTGACTTGATAAGTACTTACTCGAGTAAGCATTTAGTAAACGGCACCTAAATTACAATTTTGATCTGTCTGGTTGTCACTTATGATAAAACTTTGTCCCTATAGTAAAATAGTTATACTTTTGATTTGTGTGGTTGTCACTTATGCGTTTGGTGCGCAGACAGGACAGGACAGGACAGGAAGGACGGGACAGAACAGGACAGCTGTTCAGCGTTTGGTAAGACATAACAGGACATGACTGGACTGGTTAAAATGACCAATTTACCCCCAATGAGTTGTTTAGTGTTTTTTTCACTAAATAATCAATATAAATGTTCCAACTATATTCCTCAATACGCATCTATTCTACATAAAACAGTAAGCATTTTTATTTGAAAAGATAAATCAATTGAAGCTAAGCATTTAGCTGATTACATTGTTATGAGAAACAAATCAAACAGTAGGTCTTTCTTAACATGATAACTCAATCTTTTGTGGGTCTGTTAGAACCAAATTGTTTACACATGATAACTCAATCTTTCTTAACAATGTGCGAGATTTCCTTATATTTGCTGCCTATTTGGATTCATGAGCCATTCAACAACCTGTGTTGGTATTAAATATTTGTGGGTCTATTAGAACCAAACCAGATGGAAGCAACAATACAGAGGGTGCGTTTGGGTTCCTCAAACTAAGAAAAGGCCAATTTAGGGTTCAAGCAAACAAGAAATCGGTTCAAGCAATCGATTTCGGGTTCAAGCAAACAGCCGATTAGCAACAAAATCGAGATGAAGCAATCGTGTACCTGAGTATGAAGAGAGGGATGTCGCCGTCGATGGGGAGGAGAAGCGATGGAGGCGGACTTTGGCAGGTGCAGGGGTGCCGATTTCTGCAGGTGCAGGTGCAGGGGCGTCGATGGGGAGGAGAAGCGATGGAGGCGGACTTTGGCAGGTGCAGGGGTGCCGATTTCTGCAGGTGCAGGTGCAGGGGCGTCGATGGGGAGGAGAAGCGATGGAGCCGTCGAGAAGGGAACTCTCGTCGCCGTCGAGATGGAGAAGGAGAAGGTTAGGGGTGCGATGGAGGGTGTAGGGGCGCCGATTATGGAGGGTGCGATGTGGGGAAGAAAGGGGGAAGGGGTAGTGTGGTAAAAATGTTTCTGTTCCGCTTAGTTCTAGGGGTAATGGTGGAACACGCGTGTCCCATGCTTGTCCAACTTAGTTCCACATTTAGCCACACCAAACGTAAGACAAATGTGTTATGTCCTGTCCTGTCCCACTCTGTCCAGCGTACCAATTACCAAACACATATTTACTAAAGAATTTCTCGATAAGTGTTTACTGAATCGTTTACCTTATCGGATGGATATGATAAAGACTAAGAAAATTTATCTGGTAAGAGTAATGATAAAGATGAAATTCTTACTATGTACGCACTTTACCGAGTAAATCCTTACATATAATACCGTTTTCATAAACTACAATCTTATCCTGTAAGTAAGTTAGAATGTTGATTCTTATCGATAAACGTTATCAAGTAAACGTTTTGAGTAAATGACCCTTAAATAACATTTGAACATGTAATTCGATTTCATAACGATTCTTAAAAAGGTTGTTTCATCTATAAATCTTGATCACGTGTGATGCAGGGCTATGGTTGACGCCCATTTTAAAAAACAGACAAAAGGCGTGTCTATGAATGTTTACGATGCATACGTGTGTATATTTTGACAAAAACAATAATTGCATTCACTTCATCGGTGCAGCATTTTCTTTTTTGTGTTAACAAAAATATGTAACATTTTTTTTTTCAGTTGGTCTAAAAAATTTATTTGCAAGTTTACATGTATAACACTATCACTATTATAAGTAGAAGGGGGTTGGGTTGGACGATTTTTGACATTTTTACAACCCAACCAATTCAAAAGTATAACTCAATCCAACCCAATCCTTACGGGTTAGGACGGGTTAGGTTGGTTGGTGGGTTACTAAAATTCATAAAGTTGGCAAATTCCTGGTTCGATTTCAGAGTCAATTTCTGGTTTTGTGGAAGCTGCGAGGAAGGAGGCTTGTATCGGTGGACTGTGATGGAGAAGGCTGACGTAAGGGTTAAGGGTTATAGAAAAGGGTTATTAGAAAAAGGGTTAATAGGTAAATTGTTAATAAGTTGAATTTGATAAGTTAGAAAGAATTGACTTATCAAAAACTGTTTATTACTGACTTGACACCGATATAAACAAATTTTTTTCTTCTCATCCAAACACTCAAAATGGCTTATTACCGGTATCACACCTAAATAAGTCAATAATAAGGTTTTATAAGTAATCTTAGACACCCTTTAATTTTTAGGCTTTACATTAGACTGAAAAATATACATATTTTTGGGCTGTAAATTATAATATTGTGTGTGTGTGTATATATATATATATATATAATTTTATAAAAATAATATATATTAGCGACGGGTTGGCGGTTTGAGTTGGGTTGAGTTATGCTAACCCAATTTCAACCATTTTAATTAACGGTTTGACAGTTTAACAGTTTGAAGGTTTGACGGGCTGGATTTAATTAAAATTGTTAACGGATTGGGTTGGACATGTTTCACGAGTTGACGATTTTTTTACACCCCTAATCATATAAGATATTGAGAAAAAGTTGATTATGATCCATCAACTTTGAGTATTTTACTTTATTAATATATATATATATATATATATATATATATATATATATATATATATATATATATAAAAGACTAGAAGAGTACTTGTGCAATACAACGAGACACATTTCGATTTTAGTGTTCTATTTTATTATTTATCTCTGTCGATGTTATAATACGATTTTATGTGTTTTTAAGAAAACAATAATGATTTTATTTTTGAATAAAATATAAATTTGAAGATACCATAAAAATTTTAAAATATATATATA